ATCGAGCATCGCAGACGTATTCACATGCCCCGAACCAAAATTCCAGGGCGTCGCAGTCGATCCTATAAACGTTCGCATGGCCCCTCCGCGATTGTTCAGTTTATAAGCTGTCGTCATTATTGCCGATTTGATCGCGGCGGGCCGCCAGTTGGGGTATTTTTGAATTAGCAGCGCCACGATTCCCGCTAATTGGGGAGTAGACATCGACGTCCCGCTTTTCATGGTGTACCATGCGTCTTTAGTTGTCCCGCCAGCAGCAGCAGCTACCAGATCCATTCCCGGCCCAGTAACATCCGGTTTAAGAATATCGTTTGTTACTTGCAACGTGGCGGGAGGCGGCCGCGAGGGGTTCAGCGGCGGTCCCGCCGAGGAAAACGGCGCGATCACCGGCGCCTCGTAAACGGCTTGAAGGGTCCGGGGCCGCGAGGCATGGGAGACGAATCCGCGTTTAGATGCTGCTGATGCTGAATCACCCTCTGGTACATACGACGAATTATCTCCGTAAGCGGTGGCCGTAGCAGCGGCGGTTGTAGCGGCGGCGGCTGCAGCGGCAGAGCCGGCTGCGCGCGCGCGGTAGAGCAAGGCGGCGTCGTGGTCGGTGGTGCTGGCGGCGACGGTGAGATAGAAAGGCGACGTGTTGCTGATGGTGCGGTACGTGCCGCCCAGACCCGGCGGCCCCGCGTTACCCGCCGCTAGGGTTACGAACACGCCAGCCTGCGGTGGAGAAACGGATAGGGGTTTACATCGAAACGATGAAGATGAAGAAGAAAAAACGGGAACAAAAGAACCCTAGGAGATAGGAGCTATTTTAGGAGAGTGGCAGGTCAGGTTTTCAAAGTAAGTCGCAGCCTTACCTCTGCTGCGCGCAGGAGGGGCAGGTCGCCAAAGTAGGTATCTTCGCCCGACCCGATGCTCATGGAGAGCACATCCACACCGTCCGCGACGGCCTGATCAACGGCTGCAAAGATGTCGCAGTCGTGGCCGTACCCCTCTGACGCGTTGTACCAGAGCGCCTTGTACACCGCCAGCCTGCCACGTGGCGCCATGCCACTGGCTGCCCCGATGGGCGTGCCGTCCCTCTCTGTCAGCACCACCCCGCTGTTGCCGACCGCCGCCCTGAGCAAGTGTGGGGAGGGGATGGGGAGTAGGGAAGGGAGAGGAAAGGGTGTGAGCGCCGGGAGGGGCGGGAGGGTGTGAGCACCCACCCCGCTGTTGCCAACCGTCGCGCTGTTGCTAACCACCACGTACCACGTAGCCCTCCCCCCCCCTGCCGCCGCCTCCCCTCCCCCCGTTCTCCCCCATGACTCACCCCGCACACCACGTGCCGTGCCCGCCAGCGTCACGAGCAGAGCGGTACTCCCCCCGAGCGATCTTGCCGTACTCGCGCTCGTACGCGGAGAGGAAGTAGCGCGCGCCCACCACCTTGCCGTTGCACTTCTTCAGCCCCGTGCATGCCCCCTTCCAGTGCTTCGGCGGGGGCCCGTAACCCTGCGAAAGGGGAGGACGGGGTTGAGGGAAGGGATAGTCTGTTATTTGGCACCAGAAAGATTGACCCAGACGACCGCCTAGCGTCTGCACTGCTTTATCTCCCCCCGTTCGCATCCCGCCCCCAGATTTTTTAGTTGCAATGCAACAACCGCACCCATACCTGATTCGCGAAGGAAGGGTGTTCGGGCCAAATGCCCGTGTCGAGAATCCCCACCACCACGCCCTCTCCCGCACTCATCTTCCCCCCGTTCGCCTCCCACGCGCCCTTCGGCGCGCCCAGCTTGAGGAAGCGCGGGGAGTACGTCGTGAGCGCGCGCACCTTGCGCCCGCGCGCCACGCGCCCCACGTCCGGGCGCGCGCGCAGCTGCTGCGCCTCCGCGGGGGTGAGCTCCGCGCAGAAGGAATTGGCGGCGAAATTGTAGCTGAGGGGGAGAGCGACGGGGGGGAGGGGAGAGGTGGGGGAACGAGAGACGGGGGAAACGATGCCGGAAAATGGGAGGTAAGAAGATGCGTAGATTGGGGCGTTCTTGGACTAATCGGTAGTCAAATAGGATGGGATGGTGACACACGCCGACGTTTTTGGATACCATGACACGTCATACGTATGCAGCGTGTCTCGTCATGTTTCAACAAGGCCGGGGGAGATGCCACGTCAGACTTGCGCACATGCCATGCAGTCCCTCTACACATGCCACGTCATACCTGTACACATGCCACGTCATACCTGTACACCATGCTGCTCGACGCGACACCGACGGAGGTGAGAGTCCGCTCGTGCGACGACGTCAGGTGCTGCGCGTACGCGCGCACATGCGGGTCGTCCGCGCGCGGGCGCAACTGCCGCGGACCCCGCCCCTTCCGCGCATTCTCCCCCATGACCCCCGCGCTCCCCCGGTAGGTCCGGCCGGGCGAAGGCTCGTCCTCCTCCGCCACCGCCGTCGCCGTGAGTCCCGCGATCCCGCCCCTGTATGCGACGACCGGCGGCGCGGATGTCATGTGCACGAGGTACAGCCCCTTGCCCTCGCCTGGCGCTGCTGCTGCGGCGCCTGCGTTGGTTGGCGGAAGAAGCGAATGAAGAAGGAAACGAGGGATATATGGTCCGATGCGAGGGTTGGCAAATTATGGACAGGTTTGCTGTGGTTTAAGGGCGCTCCGGCAGCTTGATACGTGGAAAAAATACCACTTAAGGCACCGTCAAGATAACAAACTTCTTGGTGGATTTGACTCGAAAGCGCACCTAAAAAGAAGAGTGCAGCCGTGAAGACGAAGCCACAAGCGATCCGCTCCTCGCGGCCGCCATGTTGTCGACTGTCGCCATGCCTCCCCATCTGAGACTGGTTGGTAATTTTACTTTCTCGAACACCGACCGTGTTCGATGCTTCAAAAAGGGTTCTCTTGTTAGATGCGAGTCGCAAGTTGCCTCTGCTGAATAGACTAGCGATTAGCCTCAATGCTTTTATTGGATCAAGCATGAAAGGTTTAAGAGAAACCTCCGCTGCTCGTGGGAGTGAGCAGGTATCGTTCACAGCCGAGAAAGACCACCAGTTTCCTTATGTTGGGGTCACTATATGGTCAAAGATACTTCACCTCGCATGCGACATGGACTGAGGAACCCCGGGGAAATCGGACCAAAGTGGTTAGACTGGGGGGGGCGGGTTATCGGGCTATAGCAGCAGGAAGTAAGGGAAGGGAGGAAAGAATGGAATAGGCGCTTCTTCAACAACGGTTCGCGGACTACTTCAATGGCCAAGGTCGGCTGAGCCTGAGACGGACCGGAGAGACGTTGAAGTGGTTTCAGAGAACTACTAGTTTCCCAAATTCTGTCGGTGAGATGGTAGGACTGGGCTGGGCTGCATAGACGAATCTACTTTTCCCTGTGCGATCCAAGAACCACCACCACGGGTGCGCAAATTAGGTGCGCACGAGTGCAGTGGAGCCATACGGACAAAACTAGTTTCCGCGACGCGACACGCGACGCCCTAGAGTCACAATAACTACACAAGCCAAGGGCTGGGCTGGCCTTTCGTCGCCTCGCCAGTTCTGGCTGTTGGTTGGGGGAGAGGGAGGATGGCTGGCCATGATCGGATCAAATCGGGTCGGGGCGCTTGTACATCAAACCCAGGGCTGGGCGCTTGCTGGAGTGCAGTCCTCTACTGGGAGTCGGATCGGGTAGAGATGGGTAGCAGTTGGAATGGGATTGGGATGGCCATTTTATTGAACATGTTGCCATTTCCCCAAGCTAGCATGAACGGGAAATGACGCATACAATAGGGGTTAAATGGGATGGAATGCGATCCAAAGGGAAAGGAGAGGAGAGTGTGCGTTCAAAAGGGGGGCGAAATTTGATCGCCAAACGACGACATTCGATATGAAGTCAGATTTCGAGCCGCGCATGCGAGGCGCGGTGCTAATAGCAATCGTGATAACGTTGCATGTGACTAACAGCAATTCGTAATTGGAAATTCGAGATCGTGGGAACCAACTACGGTATGCTTGCGAGGCGAGAACGAGTACAGCGGATGCACTTAGCTTTACCTGCTTTGCTTGAATATACCAGAAATATCTTACCGTATGCTGTATGTTGCTTATATCGTATAATGTGAACTTTGAAATATCCAGCCAACTGGTCGGTAGCGTAACGGCGTACAAGTAGCAGCGTCAACTTTAACGGTGAGAAACATGTGCATTGTGCTCACCAAATCATGTCATTCCTGCTCTGGGAGTGGTAGTTATTTTGTTAAGAATGTCATCGCTAAAACACCACAATATACCATTGCTTTACTGCAAACTTTAGACAGTGGGAAAAGGTGATACAATGCAGTACGTCGACTAGTATCCATTGTAGTACAATGTAGCATTCATTGTTACGATGTTTTCCGCGTCTTCTCCAGGTCATACCCCACACATGCATCTGCCGCCGTTTTAAGCTGTTGGGAAACAAAAGAAACGTTCAAGCTTCTTAGCATGAAACAATTCGACATCACACACAAGGCGTACAGACAGCAGCTGATGTCTCCATGCAACATCTGCACTTAAAACCGCCCTCTCTACACTGCACCTCCACCAGACCTTCTTGCGACCCCTCCACTCCCTCACCCATCCCAACCCTCTACCTGCCGTCTCACCTGCACCACGTTGGTGATTTGCTTGAGCGCCCATCCCAAATAACACAGCAGGCCAAGGGCTCGGATGATCCCCATCCATCATCCACACACACTCCCCAACCCCCTCTCACCTGCACCACGTTGGTGATCTGCTTGAGCGCCCATCCAGGGAGGCACAGCAGACCAAGGTCTCTGATGATCCCCATCGATCAGAATGAGCCCCAGACCACCCGCACACTACCTCCCTCAAGTCTCAACCCCCTCTTCCCCCCAGTACCTCCTTTTCGCCTTGGCCAACCCCCTCTCACCTGCACCACGTTGGTGATCTGCTTGAGCGCCCATCCAGGCAGGCACAGCAGGCCCAAGGCTTGGAAAACAACCCATCGTTCACAGTGCACCCCAGACACTCTACCTTGCTCCCCATCTCACCCTTTCACCTCCCACAGTCTCCCCCTCACCAGCCCAATCCCTCCTCACCTGCACCACGTTGGTGACCTGCTTGAGCGCCCATCCAGGCAGGCACACCAGGCCCAGGGCTCGAATGACCCCCGTAGGGCCGAGGTAAGGCACGGGGACCTGTGGAGTAGGAGGGTGGAGGGAATGGATTAGTGGGACGGGGTAATTGAATAGGGTTTACTCTAGGACAGGACAGCATGCCAAAGGGGTTCTGAGAATCAGCTCTGAGAAGGTACTGTGGTACTGAGGGCCCATGTGGAAAGAAGGCGCGGCACAAGGAGCTGCGGAGTAGGTGTGGGTAGGGAAGGGGTTATGAAGGAGGGGACAAGACAGGCCAGAAGGGTGCTGAGAGGTGGTACTGAGGGAACGGCATGAGGGACTGGCACACGAGAATCATATGACCGAATGCCATGCAACGTACCTGCACTTGTTGGTTTAACGGGTCTGAGTCGAGATAGAGAACAAGGTACAGCAGCTGCACACACACACACAAACACACAGAGGACACCGGGCAGAAAGACATGGAAATGGGTGCAGGCAACAATTGGGAAGTCTGAAAAACAGGGCATGATGCACAGCAGCTGCAAACGCAGACAGACACAGGAAATTGGGCAGAGTGGCATGGGAAAGGATGCAGGCGGATTCTACAGTAGAGGAGGGGCTTAAACGAACGAGGTACAGGAGCTCCACACTCAGACAGAGAACAACAGTCAAAGGGTCCACACACAAGTGACTGCCACAGCACCACATGCCACCACCAAGCCGGAAGCACTCTCTATGCGTCAGCGCCTATGCAGCTGTAGGCATGAAGGAGCGGCTACCATAATACCACATGGGCTGGCTGGCAACCCCTTAGAACACACACACACACACACACACACACAAACACACACACGCACACACACAAACACACACACACACACACACACACACACACACACACACACACACATACATACATACATAGCACCAGCACTCAACTCCAGGGTCGCTGCTCATGCCTCACCTCAGCGCCAATGCAGCAGTAGGCCATGAAAGGGCGGCTGCCGTAGTACCAGCGCATGAGAAAAAAGTCAGTTGCTGCCACGTCCTTGTGGCTGGCCTTGCGCACCAGGAATGAGCTGATGGGGAGAACGGACAGTGGAAGAGGAAAGGCAAGTGGGGTGGGGACGATCAGGAGAGAAGAGGATTGCATGTCGAGGTCTGCTGCCACGTCCTTGTGGCTGGCCTTGCGCACCAGGAATGAGCTGATGGGGGGGGCATGGCGGAAGAGCAAGGGGGGGCAGGTATGGGAAAATGGTAGATCCTTACATGTCTGACAGTCTGCTGCCGCGTTCTTGTGACTGGCCTTGCGCACCAGAAACGAGCTGATGGGAGGGCAGGGAGGACGAGAGGGAGAGGGGGGGGAGGGAAGGGCATGCAGGAGGGAAGGGGCGGAGCATTAGATGTCTGACAGTCTGCTGCCACGTTCTTGTGACTGGCCTTGTGCACCAGAAACGAGCTGATGGGAGGGCAGGGAGGGAGGGCAGGCAGGGAGGGGCAGGTGGGAAGAGCCTTCACACGTGCCATGGTCTGCTGCTATGCGCATGTGGCTTGCCTTGTGCACCAGTAACAAATTGATGGGGAGGGAAGGGAGGAAGGGCAGGGTTCAAAAACTGGGAGGGACCAGCAATTCACACATCTTGTAGACTGGTGCCACGCGGCGGGTGCTAAAGTTGGCTGATGCGTCATGTGTGCTTCTCAACACACACATACGCATGCCCCATACGCATGCCTCGTGCCCCTCATGTGCCCAATGCGTGTGTGCCTGCACGCACCTGTACATTTGGTACCAGTGGCTCGTCAGGTCCAGGACCAGTAGTGCCATGCACGCACCCATGAGCGACCTGCGAGCAATGGGTAATTGAAGGTTGACGCACGGGTGAAGGGTGGGTGAGGAACGGGAGGGAAGAGCACACATACGGGCAGAGGGAGTTGGGAGTGAGCCTCAAGAGTTTTGAGTGCACTAAAGAATCACCCATGGGGTTACCCAGCAGCGCCGCTGTGCAAGCACACCAGAGATGTGACCAGGGAGAGGCTTTGGGAGAGGGGTCGAGAGGTTGGAAGCACAGGGATAGAGAGTACACGAGAACAACGATTTGTAGGTCATTATAAATTCTTAAGGTTCCAAAGAGTTCAGGCAACAGCGGTTTGTTGGTCGTTAATAATTCTTAAGAACCAGAGAGAACATGGCAAGAACAATTCCGAAAGAGGAGAAAAGGGGAGACAGGAGAGAAAGAGAGGAGGGAAATTGTTCCCTGACTCAATGCAAGACTGAGTCAAGGGATTGTTAGAGCAATGCAAGAAAGACGCATTCTGAAGGCGGCTTGAAGAATGAAAGGTATCACAATGCGAGCAACACATGAGACAAGTTGGGGCGGTGCATTTGAAAGGGGTCGAAAAGATGACAAGTAGGTATGATGCAGGTGATACGTGTGATGTATGTGATGTGTTGCATATGATATGATGCATGTTGTGTGATATGATGCATGTGGTGTGATATGATGCATGTGGTGTGATGTGATGCATGTGGTGTGATGTGATGCATGTGGTGTGATGTCAAGCTTGTGTCAACTCACGGGTAGAGGTGGGACAGCACGAGGAGCAAACAGGTGGTGCTCATTCTGACACACAGTGAGGAGAGGAGGGAAAGGAGAGAGGGAAGGAGGGAGAAAAGGGAGAGGAGAGGAGGGTGGAGAGGTGGGAGAAGATGATGGAGGAGCGGAGGAAGGAGAAGAGGGGCAGATGCAGAGGAAGGGGGGTGCTGCAGAGAGAGGACAAGGAAAACGACTACTTGAGTGACGAGGAGCATGAAGGCACATGAATGGTACAGCATGAAGCGGGACGGATAGGGCATGACAGGACAGGATGTCAGCGGGGTAAAGGTGCCAAGGCGGGGTGCATCAGTGCGGAGGCAGGGAGGTGCCTGACCCAGAAAACCTCGGTACAAGCTAACTCATTACGTGGTAAATGGAGTAGCAGGCACGCACCTGTCCGTGACCATGTCCAAGACCGCACCGAATGTGGACTCTGGGGTGCGTGGGGCGATGGCAGAGAGGTGTGGTGGCATGATGATGGCGTGGTGGCAAGATGGCAAGATTGGTAATGGAGATGGTGCACTGTTATGATGGTGTGATAGCATGATGGATGGTGTGATAGCATTAGTGATGGTGTGATAGCATGATGGATGGTGTGATAGCATTAGTGATGGTGTGATAGCATGATGGATGGTGTGATAGCATTAGTGATGGTGTGATAGCATGATGGATGGTGTGATAGCATTAGTGATGGTGTGATAGCATGATGGTGTGATGGCATGATGGTGTGATGGCATGATGACAAAAACTGTGAACGGAAGGGGAGCAGGACGGGATTGGTAAAGGAGAGCAGGATACACGAGGACGAGAGCAGGCACAAGGCGGGGGAGAAATGCTGTTGGAGGGACAGGTGGCATGGAAGCATGGAATGGGGGGAGGCACAAGTTACAGGAGGAATGCGTCGACTCACTCTGATTGAACCACGTGGCAAAACGTCCGTCCACGTAATCACAGAAGAAGCTTCACGAAAAAGGAAACGGGGGAATGGCAGATTGGGAGGAAGGAGGGAGGGGAAAACCGAGGAGGAATGGGTAACATGTCATCACAGACATGCAGTGCCTGGAAGAGTGTGACAAATGCCATATATCCAGAGCACGATACGCAGGCCTAAGAGGGAAAGTGGTGAGTTTCGAGTCGATTCGAGGCAGATGTTTGGACGGGTGTGTCATATGTTGTGCATCCAAGGCATGAAATGCAAGCCTCATAGGAAACTTGCATGAGAGGAGGCCTATGGCTGAGAAGCCACGTGTAGAAAGTAGATTTTTGAGACGTCTCAAAAATCTACTTTCTACACAATGCAAGCCTCATAGGAAACTTGCATGAGAGGAGGCCTATGTCTGAGGGAAGATTCACTCAGAGTAAAGATAGAAAAGGTTATCTGAGAGGAAGTCCATCCGAGAGGAGGTTCACAGAGGCATTTGATTTATACGGATGTTCACCTGAAGAAGTAAAGGGCGACGAAGAGGCGGGGATCGGACAGAGCGATGGCGAAGGCCCATACGTTCGCCAAGATGCGAAAGTACCCTGTCGCATGACAAGCATTCGCAGCAGAGACAATGTCAGCCGCGAACGCCTAAGATATCGCCTATGGTGAGCGTCTGTCAAGGCAGATGACGTAAAAAACGAGTCTGTAAATGACGTTTCTCAAACGACGCAACGCCTGATTCAGGTAGTAACTGGCTCTGACAAAGGGAACACAAAGGAAGAAAGCTAACTCGTAGTGACTTCTGCCATGCTTCCGTAAGAGTTCGCGTTTCGCGTTTAAAACCCAAACCAACCATCATGTTTCCGAGCTTGATTTGAATCTCTACCCATCTACGCGAACAAGGCCTAGCCACTGACCGACAATGTTCGGAAGATAGAGGTAGATCGGCCACGCCATTGCTCCTGTAACCACACCCTCGCTCGTCGCTCCTGCTCCTTGTTGATAGACGCTAAACGATAGAACTAGGATTAAGCGGCACTGTCCGTCGACTTCGCCGACCAGAACCAAATAACTTAAGAAGTCAAGGCGGCTAAAAATACTGCTAGCCTTGGTCTCCGCAGTGTGAGCCTGAGAACGGCGAACCCACTTTCCTTGTCCGTGAATCACGCCCGTCACGCCGAAAATCCAGCACCTCGGATCAGAGATGTCACCGAACGGTAAATTGCGGTAACCAGCAATTCCAGAATGGTACAAAGCTTTTGACTCTGGTGAGCTGGAGAGGTTCCTGAACGGGCGGAATTGAGATAGGAGGCGGTGATCTTCCGAGACGCCGCTTTTGGCGGGAATTTTGGCGAACGTTGTGTCAGGTAAAAAAGTCCAAGCAATCACAGGAATCTGTGTATAATATCAGCAGCTCCAAAAAGGAGACAAACATGCTCACATCAATTCCAGTATTTGATCCCTTCATTCAGATGTACTGTTATATGGCCTACCCACCCAGCTCTAAAGCACCTTTATCTTAGAAAGCATGCAACAGTCAAGCATGCAATCAACCTCGCTATTTACAATGTCACTAAAATGTGATGTGACATGGAAACGACCCACGGTAACCCATCACAGGACAGCTAACCACAGTATCACACCTAACGATCTGCAACATCAAATCTTGGCCGCACGTTGCACAGATAACAAAATCCCATCCACAATTCACACAGAGAAACCCCCTCCTGGCGCAACAAGCAGCCCAGGGTGAACAGCATTGGCAGCAGCAGGGCATGCCTCCTGGGCTGCAGCAGCAACGGTGTGAACAGCAACAGCCGCATTGCAGAGGTTGGCAAATGCACGCATGTGCTTCATGCCATACTGCGTTATGCGCCCACAGCTCGCTTCGTAGGCCCGCACCTGGAGGGAGGGGGAGAGGAGGCAGGTACAGAGAGAACTACACTGAGAAACCCTTGCCGGGTGCAACGAGCAGCCCCAGGGGAACAGAATTGGCGGCAGCAGGGCATGCCTCCTGCGCCGCAGCAGCAACAGTGCGGACGGGCACGGCTGCATTGCAGAGGTTGGCGAATGCATGCATGTGCTTCATGCCGTACTGAGTGATACGCCCACAACTTGCCTCGTAGGCCCGCACCTGAGGGGAAGGGGAAGGGGAAAGAGTTACAGTGGGAAGGTGCAAGGTGGGGCAAGGCCCACACTTCACGCCTGGGAGACCGAAACAGGAGTAGATCGCCTCCACACACAACTCACATGATGAAACAACCATTGAAGAGCGTGTGAATCCGCCCCTGCCATACACCATCGAAGCCTGTGGAGCATGACGGTCCACATCCCCACCCCACTCGCCATCCCTCGCAGGCACATCTGGTCGTCCACCAGAGCCCTCCCCTCTGCCTGCCTGCCCTGCAGCACCGCCTCCACACCCCCCCCTCGTGATGAGACACTCTTCGAAGTGCCTAAGGCCCAATCACCCACCCCACCACTCACCGTCCCTCGCAGGCACATCCAGTCGTCAACCAGAGCCCTCCCCTCCGCCTGCCTGCCCTGCAGCACCGCCTCCACACGCCCCTCGTGTGATGAGGCACTACTCGAAGTGCCGAAGAACTCACACCCCCACCAGTCACCATCCCTCGCACGCACATCTGGTCGTCCACCAGAAACCTCCCCTCCGCCCCTGCCTCCCCTCCTAATGTCCCTCGTGTGATGAGTCAATCTTAAAATAGCTGAAGATAAAACCCCCGTACAGGCCACTGTAGAGTCTAATCACCCACCCCACCACTCACCATCTCCCGAAGGCACATCCAGTCGTCCACCAGAGCCTTCCCCTCCACCTGCCTGCCCTGCAGAACACCCCTCGTGTGGTGAGAGAGTATTTGAAGAGCCCATATACCCACCTTCCAACTCACCACTGACAAGTCTAACACCTCACCCTTTCACTCACCATCTCCCGAAGGCACATCCAGTCGTCCACCAGAGCCCTCCCCTCCGCCTGCCTGCCCTGCACCACCGCCTCCACACGCCCCTCGCCCACCGCTGCTGCCACCGTGGCGCACACCGATTCGTCCACGTGGCGACGGTGGGCGAATGTCTCGCTGAGGGCGGCCATCGCTGCCTGCTTGCGCGGCGAGTCCTCCGGAGCGTTCTTATACTGAAGGGAGAGCGAGGGGGCGTGGGGGCAGGGGGGGGTATGAGGACGTAGGGAGGGACATGGGGGGTTTGAGAGGGAATATAGGCAGGCTTATGTAAAAGCGCAGATGGGCAACGGTCTCGGTAAGGGCGGCCAGTGCTGTCTCCTTGCATAGCGAGTCCTCCGGGACGTTGTTTATACTGAAAGTTTTTGGGAATGTCATGAAGGTTTAAAGAGGACGACGAGTCATGCTGCGGTAGGTAGGGTCATGACTTTCGCCCTCTTGAACCCCCCATGCCCTTCCCCTCCTCTTCAGTATAAGAACGCCCCGGAAGACTCACTACGCAAGCAGGCAACGCTGGCTGCCCATATACTGAAGGACAGGACGAGGGATAGAAGAAAGAGGTGAGTCGGGAGGTCGGGAGGTCAGGGAGGGAGGGAAAGAGGGAGGGAGGCCCACCTTGTGCCACATGTGCAGCACCTCCGCATAGCGCTGCCCCACCACACCACCCGCCTCCAGATGTGAATAAGATATTGAGTGGGTGAGTGAGTGAGTGACTGAGTGAGGGATGACAGGAGGGAGGGAGTGAGGGAGGGAGGAATGTAACCCCACCTTGTGCCACAGGTGCAGCACCTCTGCATCTCGCTGCCCCACCACCCCAACCGCCTCGCCAGCAGCAAACATCCTCTGCCCCGCCGACAGCACCGCACCCCTGCCCCTCCCCTTGCCCCTGCCCAGCAGCACAGTCAGACTGAATGGCACCCACGGGGTCATGCCCACATGCTCGTTATTAGCACCGGCTTCAGGAGCAAGGGAGGCGTCGCCCAGGAAGTCTGACAGAGGGTCGGTGCCGAGAGCCTTCTCCCCGAACAGCATCACGTGCGAGCCAGCATCGTATGTCCCGTGGTTGGATGTACGTTCTTTCACCTGGTGGGGCGGGCGGGGCCACAACAAGGCAAGGCGATGTGGCACAGAGGGTAAGGCAGGAGGATAAGAACCCAAAGCCTTTTCTCCAAACAGCATCACGTTCGATCTGGCGTCGTACGTGCCGTGGTTGGATGTGCGCTCATTGACCTGGTGCAACAAGAGGAGGGCATGGAAGGAGGGTGGAACCAAATGGGCAGGGTGAGAAAGGAGAGGGGAAATGGCAACAGGCAGGTGC